TGTGTGGTTCAGCGTGGCTCTGCATGCCCCGTTATGAACTGGGCCATGGGTGACAGCTACGCCTACACAAGGAATTATATTACAACAACGGCTCCCCGAGGGAGGGCCTTCTCTGTAGCTGCACTGGCCCTGTGGAACAAGCTACCCGCAGAGATCCGGACCCTCACCACTCTCCCAGCCTTCCGTAAAGCCACCAAGACCTGGCTGTTCCGGCAGGCCTGGGGTTGTTGATTGAAATCCAGCCCCACTTGATTGAATGGATGACGTATTAATTTTAATAACTGTATCTTTTAAAAATTTTAAATGCTTTTATTTTTGTTGTGAGCCGCCCAGAGTCCCAAGGGAGTGGGCGGCATACAAATTTTATTAAAGTTGAAAGAAGTTGAAAGTCCCCTGCATGCTGCTTTTATTTCATTTTTGAATCGCCTAGTCATAGTCCCTAGGCCAGCCGCAGATAACTGAGGACGGCTTAGAAAAACACTGGGGGAAATCTCCAAACTTAGCCGCTTTAAGGCTTGTAAAGTTCAATTCCCAGAATTCTGGGAGTTGAAGTTCACAAGTCTTAAAGCGGCCAGGTTTAGAGACCTTAACCCTGATGTAGCCAACTCAAAAGAGTATTTCTCACCTAGAAATTTCATTCAGGGGTCTGCTTTACCTTCCCTCGCAGTCATTCTCTGATGTGCCAGATCACAAGGCATTTTACAGATGGCAAACTAAGACTCTGCGAGCAAAAAATGAATGGACTCATCCTGGCAGACATGCTATTTGATCCCAGATCTCTCCATCCACTCCACCGACAGCAAAACAACAAAGACACCCTGTGGCATTCTCGGGAACCTCAAAATCCCACCTTCACGGCGCCTTTCAGTTACACTCAGGCTTTCCTTAGATCTGCTAATCCAGAAAACACTTTTGTGAAATGTGTGAGCTGCCCGTCCACTGCAGGAGCTAATTATTCTTAGCAAAACAAGGGCCGCAATAGAATTTGTCACGCGCTTCAAGTCCTGCGTAAGGAGCTTAACGCGATGGTGTTTTGGATACAGAGCACACCTTTTTCAGGTACCTGGCAGGTGCAAACCAATTTGCCACTTGCGTCATCTTCTGCTTCGTTCCAGCAGCTTTCAGCACGTTCTGATAATGGGTGTCAAACGATATGCCCGGGTGAAATAACTTTCAAGAAAATTATTATTATTTATTTGTCTTGTATGCCGCCCACTCTCGGAGGACTCCGGGCGGCTCACAAAAGACAAGGGAAAG